TGACAGATCTCCAACCAATAGAAACACTTTCATATCATCGTGCATGGGACACGGGCTTTAACCGCTGGAAACGTCAGCTACTCAAAGTTTTTGCCTTTTTTCAGTCCTACTAAGTGAAAATGGGCTGTAAAACAGCGCGAAGTGCTGACGGGAATCGGCCACAGCCAGTAGAAATGGGGACATGGACGCTTGAGCTCCTCGCAGGGTTTCATCCAGAAGTGAGGTTAGGAACAGGGGTTTTGGGTAAGTGAATCACCTAACTCAAAATGCGTTGACTTCGCACGTTTACGAGATTAGTATATATTTCGGTTGCGACCAGGTTGATTGAAAAATCTTCGTTGTTGCCAAAGGCTTACAGCCGATTCAAGGGTTTCCAAACTGGTGCGCGGTGTTGCGAAAAATTCAAATCATCAGCTTAATCCAGCAAATTTTTCCGACGATAGATAAAGCGCGTTGCCCTCTTTGAACGCGCGTGTTAAGCGTTTTGTATGCGCGTAGAAAATGTAGGCCCTTAAGTACTTGTGTACTTGTGGTACACGGTTGAAACTACTTATGCGAATAATCATTAAGCCCTTTTCTAGAGGAGTCTTAGCTCAACAACTACCTTTCGCAGCTTTATGCAAAAAGCGTTGCATTGAGTTCACCTACCACAATTAAAATCTTCTCAGCATCGCCGATTTTGCAGCTGACGGAGGTGGAGAACAGATACAAGTGCGGTATCCAATGATAAACCAATCTGAGGATGCCCAGAGTGAGCACAAAACCCAGATAGGTGAGGGCTGTCCTCACTGGACTGGAGCGGTAGTAGAAGATTTCCATCTGGTCCTCTTGGCACTCATTGATGTACATCTTGTAGTCGCTCGACTGGTTGCCTGCAAAAAACAGCAAAGTAGCATATTTTCGTTGAGCAACGCCTCCAAGCTCTGCGGTTAGTTGGAGCCACGGAGCTTACCATTGCAACGGGGCGCCATTAAAGACATTCCAAGCCAAAGCCTACGTACTAAAAAAATTGTCTGTAAAAGCATACATAAATCCTTGATATGTAATCTGTATAGAAGATAAGATTTTCTGTGCTTTATCAATGGGTTTTGCGAGCTGAGTACGTACTTAACTTGCTGTGCGATTCAGTGAATGCATTCAGCTTGCTCGTGATCGATCATAAACTGCACGATTTGATGCAAATGCAATCGCGGTTTATTCTATGAATATTTCCGTCAGTTATGGGTGGCGCAATTAAAAAACAATTATTCGACAAACATTTCCAAGAAGCACAACCACAAATAGATAAAATGCCCATACACTTGGGCATGGGATAGGAAATCCCTGGAAACTACCTAACGCTCTATCGAGCGTCACCTTCCATGTAATAATAATAAATCAAATTCATCCCTGGGTTTCAGTCATTTATTGTCTCTATTTATCAATTAAAATGGGTTTCGGTGTATTTTTCCACCATCATCAGTTTTTAGGTGTAGCGTTGTTGCTGCTTTAAGCCTTGGCATGCATTTGGAGTATTAATTTTGTCCATTGTCGGACACAAAACGAATCTTTCCGTTCGAAACAACGCTACACATAAAAACTGATGATGGTGGAAAAATACACCGAAACGTATTTTGATTGATAAATAGAGACAATAAATGACGGAAACCCAGGAATGAATTTGATTTGAAATTGAAACACAGTCAGGAAAGCATATACAGTAATAATAAATGTAACACTACAAACCTCCAAGGAGAACCTCGATTTGCTCCAGCGTCTTTAGATTGGGTTCCCTCTTCCTCCCGAAGAGGATCGAACCGATGCTGTTACTGCCCATTATGCACTATTTTCGCTCCACCGAGATGATGGCAACCGCAAGTCGAAAACACCAACAAACAGTTTTTGTGTAGTTTGATTTGCATGAAACACACTGTGACGGAAATGCGGGAAAATTTCCAACAAAATCAGTTTTTTTCTAAAAAGCTATCGCGCTCGCATCAGCTGCAAAAGTCTCCGAATCGCAACTCTGGTCTATGAAATAGTCCCAAAAATCGCCTATTCGATATCTTCCACTAAGTCCTTGTTATAAAGGTCTTTTCGTCGTACTCTCAGCCACATATCTTTTCGTAAACGTCGCTCAAGTGAAACGCAGGAATGACAACGAGATAAGGCTCTATTTCTTGTGATTGTAGATCTGAAAACAAAACTATTTGTCATTATATTCTCCTTAGTGAGCGTTGAAACAACCAAAGCTAATCTGGGATCAGTTGCCGCCTTCAATCACCTTCACACATTTTTGAATCAGCGCACATTTCCATTATCTGCTGATCTTTATCAGATCATCACCCATTTTCGGTAAAAGTGATTAAATTTTTCTTCGAATCGAGTGGCTGGCTTTTAACTGGTTATTTTGGTGGCACTTCGTTTATCGCACACGTTGAGTACAGTGGCTTAATTGAAGTACTAATTATTGAACCGTTTTTAGAAGAGTTTAGCGCCGCATCCTTGAATCCAAACCTGCTAAATCTGTTGCCAGGGAATTAATGGACGCATTTAGCTTTTGGAGTTTGCTTTCGAATATTTAGGGCGTTCACTGTGCTGATTTACCGATGAAAATCAATGCTTTCATAAGACTTTCTAAGCCACTAGTTGACAATTTGGAACGCAGCAGTTAATTTAATCCGACTATCCGAAGGTCTCATAGTGCGCTCTCTAAATAATAGATACAGATGAGATCATTTTGCAAATTCATCACTTTTTAAGCTAAAAAATATCTCAGAAAGCGTATTCAATTTATATCTTTTTTCGCATTTGGCTAAGCGCATTGATATCGAGAAAAAGAGGAATGTTCTATCAAGTGCATTGAAATTAATGGGAAATTGCACCTTATCGTACATGGTTGACGTGTGCAAGATGCAAATGGTGTTTCTGCAGTCTTGATTAATCAGTTTAATGCAGGATCTTTTGAGTTGTTCCCGAAAAAAGTGCATTTTACACCCAAATCTCGAACGGCCTAATTAAATGAATGTGGCTGCAATGACGTCACCATTGATGAGCGCTTGACAGCGTACGGACCTTAGTAACGATATGACGTCAATGGCAGAGCTCAAAATGGACGCCATTGTGACAACAACGTTGTTTTTTGTGATTTTTTTAGGTAGTTTTTCAATAAAAACTGTGAAATAGTGCGAAAATCGTGTCTTGTGGTGAAAGCGGTTGGATCTCCGCATAACCCTGCCATAAAAGGGCAGATCTGGTAAGAGTTTGTATATGCACAGTCAAAATCATAACCTCAAGACCATTTCACTTAATAACTGCTCGAAGAAGTCCTATTTTGCTCAAAAGGGTATTTTTTTGACATTCCATTCGCGCCCGTTATGGAAAGTTTTGATGAACCGCTGCAAACTGATCCCATTGGGGCCCCTGGATACTTACCATCAGATTGGATTCATCAAACGCTTAGAAGACATCAAATAAACGTCAAATAAGCATAGTAAGATGTTGGATGTAGCCTATGTCAATCTCCAGGATCGTTCCTCGCTCGGTATGCGGACTCCGTGGTGAAAAAGGAGCATTCAATCTGGTGAATTTTGTTCGCCGAAATTTCGCAAATCTTATCCAAATATTTGCAACAAAACACCTTGATGTATTTGTTGAATTCACTCGAATACATAATAGGTAGCGGCTTTTTCAAATGCATTAAACACACGGAAACTGGTTGAGTTGCGCGGGAATTTTCCAGAATTCTGGAAATTCGAGCTGGTCCTTGATCGGTTTGATGAGTCAAATCGCCTTTGAGCACTGGCACACAAGAATTCGTTACGTCACAAATTCCTAAAACTGTGCGGCAATTAACCTCACTTTCGTCAAAAGCGTGAAGCTTATAACGAAATCAACGACGTGGAAACAGTCTTGGAGCTTCTAATAACTCGATTTAATATTAAAAGTTTATAAATCTTCATTTTCATGTCGAGGTTACACAGCAACAAGCAGGAACACCTTTTTGGCACTTGCGCGACTCTGAAAACCCAGCTGCACGCCTTTAGCACTATAATTCAGCTGCCGACCGATGTGCGGATTTATCCGCATTCAATCAATCGAGATTTAGCTGGATTGATAGATAAACCAAGCCGCAATCAGTCACTCACGAGCACAGAAATCGCCGACACTCCCGAGAATTCACACGAAATTTACCCAAATGAGCACAGATAGACTGAAATGACGTCAGTCACGGGTCTGCGGCCGGTTTTATAGGCGCAAAATTGCGATTGCGCTTGAGCAAGCAGAGCCTCCTATGGACACAGTCCAGGCTCATTGAGTTCGGCTCTAAATGGCGAAAGTTTGCAAATATTCGCTCTACTTGCTACTTACCAGCCATCCGCTCCAACGCGTCCATCACATCCTAAGCAATCGTGATCAATCTGAAATAGAGTCAAGGGCTCTGTTACATGTTACAGTGGCGCATTCGCCATTTTAGCCACAAAAGTGCAACTAAAAGACTTAGGAACAGTTTTGCGTCCATATCAACAGGGTTTTGCATGGTTAAAAGGCTTGTCTGGGAGTTAATGGGTCCCGGGGCCAATTAAGTTTTATCAGCTGAACTGGTTAATAGCTCTGATAACATGCTTTCCACCGTTAATTACTGGTTGATGAACTGTTAATGCTGAGTATGATAAATACCTGTTCATGTTGGCCCGTTTGATGAATTGAAACTTTCAGGCACCGTGCAGTCCGCTGCAATGACGATTCGTCGACGCATTAACATGCAAAACGGCCAATAGAAAGCTGGTTTGAATAGTGCACATGTATATAAACACAGCGGTCAAAAGAACCTTAACTGCTGTTTGGTTCTGTGATGTGTTTTTTGTTATTTGTTTTGGTCGGTTTCTCCGGTGGATTGTTCACATAATGGCAAACCTTGACATGTAAATAGTTTCCGTTGTGGCGTAATGCCATTAATCATCTAAAAGTCATTATGGAGATTAGCGCGTATACAGTCAGTAAAAAGTCTCCATACATCAGCATTTTTTTGCATTCTTCTTAGTTTGTCAGTCCTCAATCAACTAGAAAATACAATTTTTATTTATCTTCCGGAGTGCGTGTAATTGTTATTATATTCTTATCTTTCCACGTTTTCAGTCAAAGTGCGAAATCACAATTTTAAATATCGTTTATTTCTTTACGTTTCGGCGAGACAACAGCGCCATCATCAGATTTTAAAATTCATTCAAACTCATAATTGGTAAACATTATATTCATTTTAGGTCTTGCACAGCAAAGACCTAAATGAATATAATGTTTACCAATTATGAGTTTGAATGAATTTTAAAATCTGATGATGGCGCTGTTGTCTCGCCGAAACGTAATGAAATAAACGATATTCAACATTTTTACTTCACACTTTGAGTGAGACCCAGGCAAAATAAGAATATCTTAATAGATAAGTATTTAATTTCTATTTACATGCCATTATAAAGCGATCCAGCTATCAAAGTGTATATGTATTTATTAAGCAACATTAAGTTACATATAAATAGCTGCCAGCAAGTATTAAACGAGCCCTCTATTCGAAATACATTTTTTTTATTATGAAAAACATTTTTGCAAGACAATGGAAATGCGAACAAACCGTTCCACTTTTCCATACTTGAACTCATTAGGTCACTAGGGATGCAACATTATCATTAGCACACCGTTCAATTAAATGCGCTTCATACCTACTGGTCGCCGTTCTGTATCAAAGGCATTGCGTGTTCGGTCGGTGATAAAGCATTCAATTAATGTGGGTTTATGTTTATTCATTGGACAACGAATGGAGACAGGTGGGTTGAGGAAAAATCTCACGCCCTTCCATTAGCCGATCAGGCATTGTGCTGGTCGAACGTACAAAGTGGGCTGCTTGGCAGGCTTGACCGGGTACCATATTCAAATATTCCCGCCTTTCCATCGGAACCTCACACCTTTCGAACAGGTGTTTCTTTTATGAGATCAAGTTACCTTTGCGAGCAGTTTCCGATTCTCAGCAGTTGTTTCTTGCGAGTTGACCTTTCGCTGTTGATCGAGGCGACTCGATTTCGCTGTCCGCTCGGTGGCTACAAGAAAAAACCACATTTATTCCGTTAACGTCTCAAATGTAATGTTTGCTGCTTGGTGATGTCGATCAATTGCAAACGTCCACACAACGGCAAAATGTGAGTAATTTTCCTGTATTTCAATGTATGTTTAAGTTGCGATCAGCAGGAAGTAAGTGGGGTTTTTTTGCTTTCCTGAAAGTGCTCAAGTGGGCTCAATCTGGTCCGTCAAAGTGACCCAATTTTTGTCGACTTTTTGGCTCGGCCCCCCCAGTTGGGGCTAGCGTGGTCCCCCCAAATATTTCCGTGTGTTAAGTGATGCGGAAAAGGAGCGAGGAATTCCAAACATTTTTTTGCGTTTGCAACAGGAATTTTTAATTCCACGTGACAAAGATCCACCAATGTTTTTTTCGCATAAACAAGACGCGAATGTATGGTTTGCTCTTCAATCGCCCGGTGTTTTACTCAAGTCCGTGTCCAATCCGCAACAGGACGGTGTTCGGATTATTAATTAATTAGCAAATATCATGATCGACTGGTAGTGCTCGTTCCACTGGTGTTAGGTAATAAGCGCACACCTGCCAAAGGTGAATCATTTCTTTTCTTAACTCCGGCACCGGGCTTCCACTTGGAAAGCATCAAGATTAATCATTCTCCTGCAACATTCGCAGTTCCCCCAAACTGCAGGATCCTCCTCCAATGAAGGGGAACAGAGGGTTCTGAACAGGTTACAATAACCGGCACGCCACTGGCTTTGAAATGTATTCCGTGTAATTTAATATTGTCGTTGCTCGACGGCTTGCATGTATCGCGGAAACTAGTACTGCAAGTTCTAGTTTTCAGCTGCAGATTATAATCTCGAGAAAGCAAAAARGACACGCTTAAGCAGTTAGTAATCGCTTTAGAAGAACACGACCAGCGCCTAKGCGACCTATACARGGTGGCCCGATTTCARKTGGAATTTTGCGCACAACGCAAAACCCTTGACATTATCCAATTGGCCCTGCTGCTCGAGCCAGAAYCAGTTTTCCATTTGCCCYCGTAATCGCCCTGGCCCCACCAAATTTCACGCAGCTCCATGGCAACCACCCGTTTGCGCAACAGCAACGAGCAACAGATATGCCTGAAATGGATTACGGGGGTTAATCAATTGTTTCCAATTGCAGGGCCGCCCTTTTCGTGTCCCTGGCAGTGCTGGTTTTCGGCAACCTGGACGGCGCTTGCTGCGAAAGGGAGCACAAAGTAAGTCGCGCAGCGCTTAGATTGACCGACCATTAGCAGCAGCTGGTTTTGCAGGTGCACAACATTGTGCTCTATCCAGAGAAGCATTCATGGTGTCAGACCACTCCCATTCAGCAGGTGGTGTCCGCGCCTGGCTACGAGCCGGTCACTATCCAGAACAATGTATGTGTGGGCGCATGCTTCAGCTACAGCATCCCGAAGAGCGAGCCTGCGGAGCCCGGCGAACTGATCAGGCCCTACTGCGACAGTTGCCAACCGTCCGAAATCAAATGCTATCACGTAAGAGTGGCGGCGGATGGCCGGATTGGTTCATTGCGGCTGTTCTCTTATTGCAGGTCAATCTGCAAGCCGATGGAAACAAGGTGGAAGTGCCGGCTGTCCTGCAAAAGCGGGTGCAAGTGATCAGGAATTGTTCGTGCCAGAGTTGCGACAAGGTCCGCGTGGAAGACTGCGCCATCAACGACACCAACACGATGGAGCTGCCGCTGAATCTCTACGTGGATGTGGAGAGCTTGAACAAGCCGAACGAAGACTACATCCACCCTGATCTGTTCGAGGCGCAGAACTCGCCCAAACAGCATTTTGAAAACGACGCCAAGCTGAAGAGCAAGCTGAAGAAGTGGTTTGAAAATTACGAGAACAGCGAGAATCAGGTACATAATGCTA